AGTAAACAAGCTCTTGGCCCCCAAAATAAACAATAACTCTGGGCCTCCTAGTAGTAAACGATAAACTGTGCGCCTCTAGTATAAACAATAACTCTGGCCTCCTGTAGTAAACAATACCTCATGCCCCCAGTAGTAAACAATAACTCTGGGCCTCCCTATAGTAAACGATAAATCTGGCGCCCCCTAGTAGTAAACAATAACTCTGGGCGTCCTAGTAGTAAAGACATACCTGGACCTCCTAGTAGTAAACAACTAACTCTGGGCCTCCTCCGAGTAGGAACCCAGAGTTATTGTTCACTAACAGATAATACGAGACGTTGGAACAACAAGAGTACCAACTCGAGGCTTCCTACGATGAAACACGACCTGTAAATTAATGTCCCAGTAGCCCAGTGTAACACTCACACCGCGAGTCGAGAATGATCTTCAGTGCTTGATCCACTTTTCTGACTCTAGAGATCCAAAAGATGGTCTTATATTACAGCATATTCCTTTGCACGCCTTCCTTTGTCCATTAAGGAAGCCTTACGATTTCATACTTAAAGGACATTTGTTAAGTAACAGTCACCTGCATGAGTCTTGCCGTCCGGTAATGAAGGACAAATTTCAGACGTCACTCAGTCATCGACATGGAGAAGGACTCGTAAATGCTAGACCAAGTGAGTTGAACAATCTAAGAACATAAGACGATGTTACGCATAATAGAATTTATGAATTTTTAAGATGTGCGCGCGTGTGCACAAACACACACACACACACCAACACACACATAAACAACACACACACACATCACACTCACGAGACACACACACAAAGAGTATGTCCTACGACGGAGAAGGTAAGGAAATCAACCTGGACGACACAGGAGACAGGAGAGATAGGGGGACATATGATAACTGACATCACAAAATTACTGAGAGGAGATTGACAATCTTGACAAAGACAGTAATGTGTCCAGAGATTGGACACAGTAACAAGGGACACAGATGGCAGCTAAGACAACATTGAAATCCCAGGATGTTAAAGTTAATATCGTTTCAGCACAGATATCAGTAAGATGGAATAGTTTTGGGAAGTCGATGTAGTGGAGCAGTATCCCTATCATAGCTTTAAGCAGAGGTATGAAAAAGCTCACGCTCCGTGGAGAGAGAGCGCTATAGCGATCAGTGAGAGGCGGGCGGCCAGGAGCATCTCGACTCGACCCCCTCAACCTCCACTAGGTGATACAACTAGGTGAGACACCACACAGAACAAGAACAGATCGACAGTACTTAGGGAGAGGCGACACATGAACCGAAAAGGGCTAGGAAGAGATACAAGGACAGAGTCAGCAAGGAGAAACCCAAGAAGCCGGGGCAGATCACAAGCCAAGCACACACAACCACCCTCAGAACACCACAGCCAAACACGCTATCCCAACCCAAACTAAAATACACACTTGCAACCCCACCCCATATTCTGCTGTATAATCCGACAGCACACTGCCAGGACCTCCACCCCCTACATGTACCCCTAGAATACAGTGTAGGAAGAAAACTGAAGGTAGGTAACCACGTTGTTGGATACGAATATATGGGAGAAGTGGTAACGAGAGAATCAAAGATGCATCACCGACATCAAAGCTCTCGACAGATACCAAAGTCACACTGTAACCTCTTTCCAACCAGATATCAGATCTTTGAGAAAGACAGAGGAAAAGGGTTGAAATGGGCAGCTGCTCAATCACAAACCCAATGGTGAAGAGACATAGGATAACGTTACCCTACAAAATAGGAACGCTTTCAATCTGGAGGTCCCAAGGTTGTCATTGGCAGTGATGTATAAAACCCACCACAAACAGCAGGTAAGGGTCTAAAAGCAAGAATATGATGAGGTAACAATTGACAGTGACTGAAGTGACCAGAAGGCTCAAGCGGAGCAAGCAAAGCTGAGCTGGATTCTGTGGGTGAACTTCCAATCACAAAGAAATTGACAGGAGAACCTGAGAGCCACCTGGCGTCCACGGAAACATAGAGAGCTAAGATGAATGAGGCGTACTAGATAACCTCATGTACCAACGAAGTAAGGGGACACTACCAGAGAGAGCTGAGAGAACGAGCCAGCAAGACTAGACCTCAGTATCTCTTTCCAGTAGTGCAGATATTGATATATCACATATGGAAAAAAGGACACCTTTGGGCCATTGAACCACCTGGTTTCGAGTTTCGAATAGTTACAATGGGTGAGGAAGGAGGAAGTGCAGACAAACGACCAGAATTACAAGAGAAGGGGACCTACACAGGCATGGATAATTTCCTGCACAGTTTCAGGTTGGGACAAGGCAACTGGAGGGAAGTCAGAAAATGAGATGACAGATTATTATACATTCAATTTGCAAGGATGCTGAGAGAGGGTTAGTACCCAAGGGTAACATGGAATAACGAGAAAGTCATGATGAGTCCCTTGGGTCGCTCAAAATAGTTGTTGAAGGCCAAGAAAACCAAATGTGCTAGAAAATGGAAAAGAATATAAGGGCAAAGGTCCCCGTAGAATAAGGAGAGCAGTCGTAGAGCCATAAACTAATAGCCAACAGTAAGAAGGGAGGGCCAACGACACTATGAAAACGACACAGCGAGGCCAAATCTGTCCCGAAGCTGTTGTACAGCACCCCCCCCCCCCCCACATCAGGGATGAAAACCAAAGTCAAGAGACCAGGTATTCAGGCTGAGAAGAAGGATGTAGATCACAATGCAATCGACGAAATATTGAGGAGCTTCATCAAATTCAAGAAAATTACACAGAGGACACCGAAGTGGCCTCCAAAAGACGAAGACGCGGGTTCACCATCAAGGTTTGATCACAATATATACAACCGAGGAAAAAGTGGAAGAGGCTGCAAAGCTGAGCTGGATACCTCAAAGGAGATAGGGCCGGATAACACGTATCCATGGGTCCTGAGCGAGGATCAGATGTGCTATGTGGACCCACTAACAGCAATCTCCACACATCTATCGAATCAGGGGACGACCTGTGTATGGAAGGACAGCAAATTGGTCCCAATTTCTAAAAGGGAACAACATTGAAGCCATAAAATACTGGGAAAACCCCCCCTAAAAGGTTTTGTCACGTGACATGTATGCCAATCATGCAGAATATTATCAGGAAAGAGTGGTGAACTCCCAGAAAAGAAATGAGCTTTTTAAACAAACCAGCACGGTTTCAGGATGGAAAAGTCCAGTGCCACAAGCCTACTAATGTCGTTACTATGGGTCATATTGGATCTTGATTTAGCGTAAATACAATTGGTCCCAGAATCATTTCGTAGGCCCTTCGAAGCAATCTGCCTTTTTTCCTTAAAATATTTCTGTCTAAAGACATTTTCTGACGCAGTTATGCAGCGGCTTTGACGACTGGGCCACTGGAAGGAGTGTCGTCGCTGGGTGTGTTGATCGTACACTATGTCCTTTTTTTAGTCGCTATCAATGACCCTGCATCTTTCTCTCCCAATCTAATTATTTGGTCATTGACTTTGGTTTATGATTGTTGTTATAGCTTTCGCAGGCGCTACTGTTTACCAAGTAACAGTCCTCTTTCCAAAGCTATAGACTGTTTCCTCCTCCTCCTCTCCCACTACCCATTGCGAGTCTCCATTTCGTGTTATTTCCAGAACATCAGTTTACTTGACAAGATGCTCTTTCGTCCCCAGTACCACGTTAAACCTTGTATGATATCCAGTAGACCAGAACGAGATGCAGTGTCAAGTTGCTTGGCTCTTCTGTTTGATACACCGTAATGATGTTCTGGAGACCTGTAAAAACCTCCCAGAACCAACTTTCCATTGCGGCAAGTTTGGATCAGGGCACATCGTTCTTGAGAAAGAGGTTTAGCGAAATGGATAGGAACCAACTACATTTTGTAGCCTCTCCTGCAACTTCTTCTAAACCTACGTCATCTGTCATCAAAGTTACGTTTGTTCTTTTGGTGTTTCCTCTCCTGGTTGAGTGTCTGTCCTTTGTAAGAGTGCGTGATGCCCATTTTCTCTTACTATTTTGTCCGCTCATAAGACCATCCAGATCCTTTTACCTAGTAAACATCTGAATATTCTTGAAGAACATTTCTCCCATCTCCCGCATAGAGTACTACTTCCCTCTCGTTAACTCACGTTATCTCCCGCTCTGTTACGAACTACCAATCCTCTCTTCAATCTTTACTAATCCTATATCGCCACTGACATCATGCTTTCCTGCAAGTTTCTTTTCTCGTTAATGTAAAAATCAGTAAAGCCATCTGTTTTATCAAGGAGACGAAACTAGTGACAAAAGACCCCAACCGGACCTCTCCAAATATTTTTCATTCACTCCTTCCAAACCGTTTTGTTTCATCCCCGGTCATTAACTACACCCATATTTTCTCCGAATTTCCACTCTCACTGCTTTCCCTCATTTACCCTGCTTAATATCTATCCTAGCAGACTTATTATTCTTTTTCCCTTTAAAAGATCCACGATGCGCGTAACCGTTCAGTCTCCACCACTTTCCTGGTGAGGCAAAAAGATCAGTTTACCTAGTGAAGTTCTCGCCATTGCAGTTTATACCGATGTACTAATTCCTCTGACTGCCGTTGACGGGTTGGACAACAAGTTTTCACAATAGAGTTTGTACAAGGTCATTTATTACATCCAGCGAGGCTTTTCCACTGTAGTATCCAAAATTCCGCCGCTGTTATACTTATTGTATCCCTACGGTGCCCCTGGATAGTTGGTAAAGTTCTCGCTCACACTGCGAGAAGGTCCGGGTTCGATTCCCGGAGAGGATATGAAAGCATAGGGAGTGGTTTCCTTACACAGGTTGTCTGTGTTCACTAAGCATCAGTAAAAGGGTACTCTGGGTGTTAGTACCTGGTGGGGTCGCATCCTGGTGTTAGTTGGACCTTGGTGGTCTCATCCTGGGTTTAGTTACCAGGTGTGGGGCGCATCCTGGTGTTAGTGACTGTGTGTCGCATCCTGGGAGTACAAAACTCACCTCATTTGCCCGAGAATGGCTGTGTATAACAATTTTGTCAGCTATGTCTATATTCTTGTACATTACTGGGAAGTAATAAAGATATTTATTATTATTTATTATTATTATTTATTATTATTATTTTATTATTATTATTATTATTAATATTGATTTGTTATTATTATTATTAGATAATAATATATATTGATATTATTACCTAGTCTTAACATCTGAGGTAATTTCAAACGTCCCTTTAGTGTTTTATAGGCTATCCAATAGATTTTGATTTCCGGAATCCTGTTGTTTCTTCATAACAACCATCCTGATCAAAACCATGGCTGTGACCTGCTGGGGCGGCACGTAACTGCGTACGAACCAAATACCGGCTGTCAGGTTGTACTGATGTTTAAGTACCAGTCGCAGCACCTTATTGAAGACAGCCAGCGTCATATGTACCTGCCCCGCTAGAATCGTGGAAGGCAGTTGAAGAGTCCTTGGCCGCTCCAGTTAGTAAACGATAACTCTGGGCCTCCTAGAAGTAAACGAAACTCGGCCTCCTTAGTATAAGCAACTCGGGGCCGCCTATAGTAAACGATAACTCTGGCCCCTAGTAGTAAAACGATAACTCTGGGCCTTCTAGTAGTAACGATATCTCTGGGCGCTCCTAGTATGAGAACACTCTGCCCCTAGTAGTAAACGATTAACTCTGGGCCCTCCTAGTAGATGATTCGATAACTCTGGGCCTCCTAGTAGAAACGATAACACTGCTCTGGGCCTGCCTAGTAGTACACAACTCTGGCTGGACCTCCGTAGTATAAACGGAACTCTGGGCCTCCTAGGTGTAAACGATAACGTCTGGCTTATTCCTAGTAGTAAACATAAACTCTGGGCCTCCTAGTAGTAACAATCGTCTGGCCTCCTAGTAATAAACGATAACCCTGGGCCTCCAAGTATAAACGATAACTCTCTCAGGCCTCCTATAGAAACCGAAACTCTGGCACCTATAGTAAACAACCTCTGCCTCTAGTAATAGAACGATAACTCTGGCCTCCTAGTAGTAAACATAACTCTGGCTTCCTAGTATAAACATAACTCTGGTGGCCTGTCCCCTAGTAGTAAACAACCAAGGCTGGACCTCCTAGTAGTAAACACTCTGGACCATCCTAGGTATAAACGATAACTCTGGCCTTCCTAGTAGTAAACGATAACTCTGGGCCACCTATAGTAAGCAACTCTGGGCCTCCAAGTAGATAAAACAGATACTCTGCCTCCTAGTAGTTAAACGATAACTCTGGTGCATCCTAGGTAGAATCGCTAACTCTGGGCCGTCCTAGTGAGTAAACGATAAATCGTCAGCTGGCCTCCTAGTTATTAAACGATAACTCAGGGCCACCGAGAATAAACAACCTCAGGGGGCCTCCTAGTAGTAAACAATAACTCTGGTCCTCCAATAAAGTAAACGAAGAACTCATGGCACCTCCAGTATAAACAATAAACACTGGCCCCCTGTCGTACGACGATACAACCTGTCTGCCCTCCTAGTAGTATAAACAATACCTGGCCCCTAAAGTAGTAAACAACCACTGGGCCACCTAGTAGAAACAATAACTCTGGGCCACCTAGTATAAAACGTAACGCTGCACTCGACCCTAGTAGAAAACAATAACTCTTAGGGCCCCCTGGTAAGATAAATCGATAACTCTGCACCTCCTAGTAGTAAACAGTAACTCTGGGCCTGCCAAGTAGTAAACGAATAACTCGTGGTGCCCCTTAGTAATAAACAATAACTCTGGGCGTCCTATTATTAACAACCAGGGCCCCTAGTATTAAACAATAACTCTGGGCTTCCTAGTAGTAAACAATAACTCCTAGGCTCTCATAAGGAAGTAACGACAATAACTCTGGCCCCCTATAGTAAACGATAACTCTGCACCTCCTAGTATAACCCCCAGGGCCACCTAGTAGTAACAAAACTCTGGGCCTCCTATTAGTTAAATAATCTCTGGGCCTCCTAGTAGTAAACGATACTCTGTCCCCTTAGTAAACACGTCGAGGGCCCCCTAGTATAAACATCTCATGCTCCTAGTAGTAAACAACTCTGGGCCGTCCTATGTAGTAAACATAACTCGGGCCTCCTAGTAGTAAACAATAACTCCTTGGCCATCCTAGTAGTAACCAATAACATCGGTGCCCCCATAGATGTAAACAATAATCTCTGTGGGCCCTATTAGTAAACAATATACGTCTGGGCCTCCTCAGTAGTAAACAACTCTGGGCCTCCTAGTAGTAAAACAATAACACTGGGCCCCCTAGTAGTGAAACAATAAACTCTGGGCCCCCTAGTGTAAATAACTCTGGGCCCTCCTAGTATTATACAACCTAGGCCACCTAGTAGTAAACGAAAACACTGGACCCCCTAGTAGTAAGACAATTATCTCTGGGACCTCCTAGTAGTAAAACAATAACTCTGCCTCCTAGTAATCAATAACTCTGCACCTCCTAGTAGTAAACAACCTCGTAGGCCTCCTAGTAGTAAACGAGAACACTGGGCCCCTAGAGTATAAACAATAACGCAGGGGGCCACCATAGTAGTATACAAATCTGGGCCGTTCCGATATTATAAATATAACTCAGGGCCTCCTAGTACTAAAACGATAACGTCTGCACCTCCTAGTAGTAAACAATAACTTCTGGGCCCCCTGGTAGTAAAATCGTAACTCTGGCACCTCCTATTAATTAAACAATAACTCTGGCCTCCTATTAGTAACAACTCTGGGCCTCCTAGTATAAACAATAACTCTGGGCCTCCTAGTAATAAACATAACCTGCACCTCCTAGTATAAACAATTAGACTGCGTGCCCCCTGGGAGTATAACGAGAACTCTGCACCTCTTGTATAAACAGTAATCTCGGGCCTGTAACTAGTTAGTAAACGAATAACTCTTTGGCCCATTATAGTACACAATAACTCTGGGCGTCCTAGTAGTAAACAACCTGGGCCCCTAGTATTAGAATCAATAACTCTGGGCTTCCGATATAAACAAAAACTCCTAGTCCTCTTAGTAGTAAAACAATAACTCTGGGCCCACCTAGTATAACGAGAACTCTGCACCTCCTAGTAAGTAAACAACTCTTGGTCCCTCCTATAGGAAACAAAAACTCTGCTCCGTAGTAGTAAATAACTCTGGCCTCCTAGTACTAAACGATAACTCTGGGCCCCTTATAAACGCAACGTCTGGGCCACCCTAGTAGTAAACAACACTGGGCCACCTAGTAGAAACATCTTCTGGCCCTCCTTAGTAGTAAACGAATAACTCTGAAGCCTCCTTAGTAGATGAAACAATATCTCTGGGGGGGGGGCTCTCCTAGTAGTAAACAATAACGCTTGGCAACCCCTATAGTAAACTATAACTCTTGGGGGCCCCCTAGTAGTAAACAATAACCTGGTCCTCCTATAGTAAACAACTCTGGGGCCATCCCTAGTAGTCAAACAATAACTCTGGGCCCCCCTAGTAGTAAAACAATTAACTCTTTGGCCCCCTAGTATAAATTAACTCCTGGTCCTCCTAGATAAACAACTCTAGGGCCCTCCTAGTATAAACGATAACTCTGGACCCCCTATAAGTAAACATAACTCTGGGCCTCCTATAGAAACAATAACTCTGGGCCTCCTAGTAATCAATAACTCCTGCAACCTCCTAGTAGAAACAACTCTAGGCCTCCTAGTAGTACACGATAACTCTGTTCCCCTAGAAGTAAAACAATGAACGCTGGCCTCCTAGTATAAACAACTCTGGGCCAGTCATAGTATAAAATCGATAACTCTGCCCCCTATTAGTAAACATAACTCTGGGGCCTACCTAGTAGTAAGCCACTCTGAGCCACCAAGTAGTAAACGTCTTACTCTGGCCTCCTATAGTAAACGATAACTCTGAGGGGCCTCCTATAGTAAACGAGTAACTCTGCCTCCTATAGTATAACCTCTGGGCCTACCTATTGAAGTAAACATAACTCAGGGCCTCCTAGTAGTAAACGATAACTCGGGCCTCCGAGTAGTAAACGATAACTCTGGCTCCATAGTAGAAACGATTAACTCGGCCTACCTAGTTATTAAACAAGAGGGCCTCCTAGTAGTAAAACATAACTCTGGCCTCCTATGTAGTAAACATAACGCTGGACCTCCTAGTATAAAACGATAACTCTGGGCCTCCTAGTATGTAAACGAAAACATCTAGGCCTCCTATAGTAAACGAAAAAACTCTCTCTAGGGGCCTCCTAGTAAAAACATCTCTGTGGAGCCTCCTAGAAGAAAACGATTAACTCTGGGCCTCCTAATAGAAAAGCGATTAACTCTGAGTCCTCCTATAGTAAACGATAACTCAGGGCCTCCTAGTAGGTAAACGATAACTCTGGCCTCCTAGTATAAACGATATACACTGGCTCCTAGTAGTATACAACTCTGGGTCCTCCTAGTATAAACATATGCTCTGGCCTCCTATATTAAACATAACTTGCCCTCCTAGTAGTAAACGATGAACCTGGTCCTCCTAGTAGTAAACAAAACACAGGCCCCCTATCGTAGTAAAACCAACACTGGGCCCCCTAGTAGTAGACCAAAAACTCAGGGCCGCCCTAGTAGTAAACAAAAGCTCTGGGGCCCCCTAGTAGTAAATAACTCTGGCCCCCAGTAGTAGAACAAAACTCTGGCCCCCTACTAGTAAACAACTCCTGGGCACCCTAGAGTAAACAACTCTGGGCCCCCTAGTATAAACAAATAACCTCTGGGCCCCCGCTAGTAGTATAAACAACTCTGCCCCTAGTATAAACAATAACTCTATCTAGCCCCTATATAAACAACTCCTGGGCCCTTAGTAGTAAACAACTCTGGCCTCCTAGTAGTAAACAACTCTGGGCCTCCTAGTAGTAAACACTAACTCTGTGGCCCCCTATGTAGTAACAATTACTCTGGGCCCCCTAGTAATAAACAATAACTCTGGTCCTCCTAGGTATAAACAATAACTCTGGGGCCGCCCTATTATAAACGAATAACTCTGGGGCCTCCCTAGTATTAAACAATAACGTCT